AGAAGGGAGACAACTCTAGCTTAAAACTCAAAACTTTCAGTTTGCAGTCAAAATTTTAATATCCAAGTTTTTTTATTTTTATTTATACAAATTATAAACCCTAATTAATTTTAGACTGGCCTTCGTCATAGCACTATTTTTTAGGGGTGTGGCTACAAAATATTTGAAGAAAGGCCATTAGAATTGATATCTGGAAGAGTATGGAGAGCAACCCCTCTTCCTACATCTCCCCCCCCCCACACCCTTCCCAACACACACACACACACACACACACACACACAATTTTTAAAGGGGGTATGGGAAACACCTTGGAGATTGGATGGGGATATTTAGATACATTGATATTAAAGGGGTTTGGGGAGCACATACCAGGTTGGTGGTGGTGAGGGGGGGAGTAATTTGTTTAAAATTTTTGAATAAATTAAAAGAGATATTTAGAGCCTAGCTCCCCACCCCACCCCACCCACAAATTTATCTTTTAACAGTTGACCAATAATGAATTATCATGTAATTTAATTAATTACTGATAAAACCAACTTTTAACCACCCACCTAAAAAAAATTCCTTAAATGCAATTCATGGACCCTTCGATTGGATTGGTTTTTTTTAGATAGTGAGGCATAAGACCCAATATAACTGTGGAAATACAGTTAGCCAGTTATGTATTGGCAATTAATTTAATTAATTACTGATTTTAAAAAAACCCAAGATTTTACTTATAAATTAGAATGCTGGAATTCAATTTTCGAACCCCTCTACGGGATTAATAATTATCAGTTTGTCTATCACCTGATTTCAACTTGTCACGATCAGGCTATTTTTGCTATCACATCTTTTAAAAAACAACGCAGAATTTTTCCACGAGGTCTGTCCGTTATCTTCTGCGATATCGGGTTACGTTACACTGGCGAAAAGTTTTAAAGGTAGACTATTATCATTGTACCAGGTCACAAAGATTTCATTCAGATTTCATAATCTTAGTGTAAGGCGACTGAACTTAAAGAGACGATTGAAAGTGTTTTTGCTTCTATAATCCAAGTTTAAATTATTGTTCTATTTTGCCATATGTTGTACCCAGTGGTGTTGGGTGTAGTGTACCTTGAAAGGAAGGGTAGGGGTACATTGAAAGGGGGGGGGCGTAGCAAGGAGAGGGAAGGGGGTGGTAGCTTGAAGGGAAGGGTGGGGGTTTACCCAAATTCTACGTAAATTAAATATATAGAGCTCCCTCCCTTTCTTTTTCAAAACCTTGATTACATCATTGGGGGGTGGGGGTACTGTCATTGGGCGAGTGTGGCCGTGCAAGTAAAAGAACCACCCACTGCTAAAGACCCTTATGTGCAAGTGAATTAATTTGTACCATATCCTTGTCCCGAAATGACCTGGTTTGTGTCAAGTGGAAAATAAACCCCATGCGAAGTCTAGCACAAAATAATGAAATAGCCAGAATTTGTAAACGGCTGATCTTGCATATTGAGCAGTGGTATCAGGTGTTCCAATAAAATAATCCATTTGCACAAGATGATAAATTCATCTTTAATCTATGTGAAGTAGCCAGATTTCGTGCCGCGGTGTTCTTGCATATATTATCTGTAAAGGTCATAGGTCGAACGGGATATTTTTTGAGGTCAGTAACATTGTTTAATAAAACCTTAAGTTAAAGATAAGAAGATTTTTATTTGTTATATCAGTTACTGTATCAAGTGTTAGTATCCTATCCTTAAAGGGGGTCAGATATATATAAAGTCTCTAGTAGTGTGGGTGACTCGCTTATTGATAAGCGAAAGCATATTGTATGCATTTTCACAAAATGAAGATTGACTCCTACTACTCATGGGAATTTTGTAGGTATAAAGATTTTTAGATTTTTGAGATGTAAATCTTTGTTTAGAACAAAAAATAAATGTTGAATTTGTAGGTGTAATTTTTATTTTTTGGGATGTAAATTTTCGGATAGATCAAAAAACAATTGTCGAATTTGTAGGTACAAAGATTTTTGAATTTTTGGGATGTAAATCTCTTCGGATAGATAAAAAAAAAAATTATAATTTGTAGGTATAATTTTTTTTTTTTTTTTTCGTTTTGGGATGTAAATCTTTGGATAGATCCCCTATGCGCAAGCAAATTAACTAAATAAAACTGAACCATGTTAATTCCGAAATGACCGAGTTTGTGTCGAGTGGAGGTTAAACCCCATTTCTCTATCTCTCTTTTCGGACAGATCAAAAAACAACTGTCTAATTTGTAGGTATAAAGATTTTTAAATTTTTGGGATGTAAATCTTTGGATAGATAAAAAAAAAATGGCTAATTTGTTTATAATATTGAAAAGCGAAAGCATATTTTAAATTAAAAACACTTAAATGGATATACTACTGCTGAATTTATTAACATGCTACGTTTTAAGCGAGTTTAACAAACTGAAGATCGACTTCCACGATTGACTTATACAACTCATGGGCATTTTGTTGGTATAAATATTTTGAAATTTTTTGACAGATAAAAAAAAATGTCTAAATATTGTTTATGATATTGAAATTGTAAGCGTAATAACAAAATAATATTTGGACATATGATTGTAGGTATAAGCATCTGGACAAAATTTGTAAAACCGCCCCTAAAAATCATTCAATTACAGATCTATACTTCTCCAACATAACAAAACACAGACATTTTTTTATCTGTAGCGGAGAAACCTGATGGGTCTAGTTTAAATCCGTTTAAATCTAAGCCAAGAGATTATCTAGCGTTGGTATTTTGATTTCTTAACCCTTTAACCATCGAACGTTTCATGTAGAACATTAATCAGGAGGCCATTTTGCAGGCCAGGCCATGACAAATAAATAAAAATGACAAAAAATGTTGAATATTTTATACCACTGAATAGAGGATTCACAATCTTTCCACAAATATATAATACATTTGTATGATTTATTCGTAAATTGAAAGAGTTACAGGATATATTCTTAACTATATGATTTTCCTAGTCGAAACCTCAAAACAATCCCACAGTTAAAGGGTTAATTATATGATAAATAATCAATTGTGAGTACATATTTAGCATGTATAAAGCTGTTGTCTTCTGTGATTTGTTTTTCTTTTTTCATTACAAATGGCACTCAAAAGCATTATATTCATAGTGATTTTAAAATGTTCAGTGTGTCTTACATAGTTGATATTGGGATCCCATGTTTTCACTTTAAGATAACAGCATTAGTATTGATTGATATTTACCAAAATTGAATTAAAATGCATGTTTTTAATTTTGAATATTAAGGATAATATTGAGTTTGATGTTGAACTCCTTTTAAAGTTACAATTTCATATTTTTTAAGAAAGTCAAAACATAATTATTTTTTTGTCTTTAGCTCAATAGGTTGTCAACTCACTATTATACGATCTTTCTCACACTTAAAACTCTTCACACCGGAAATAATAACACAATTACCCCCGAATTACCTCCCTTGTTTTCTATTCCCCACCATGGAATAGCTATCTTCAAACGTTTGAATTTGAAGTTGAAAATGATATTTTTGCCAATTTCTCAACTGGCAATAGTGAATTATAGGATTAATAGGATTATTTTAGGGCTTTATTTTAATACATTTTAAAAATATAACTTAAAAATATAAAATTGTAACTTTAAAGATAAAATATAACAAATGTACTGAATTGTACTTATCTATTGATAGTCATGAAAAACAACATATTAAAAAGAATAAATGATGGGCCAAGTCACGTCTTGTGATAAGATTTTAATGCAGTGTCACCCCCTGAAAAAAATAAATTATACGTTCTGTGAGACATCCATAATTAAATGCTAATGTAAGAGTAACGAAGTATCGATTTGCATTTTTTTTCTAAAATATCAAATTTCTCATGGCTGAATCCACGTTAATATTTACTCAGATTGATTATTTAACATTTAATTTAGAAAATTTAATCAAAATATCAACACTAGATAATCTCCTGGCTTGCATTTTATCGGATTTTAAACAAATCAATTCTGTTCGCCCCAAACAAAATTGCGTCCTCTTCTCAAAGCCAATGTGGCAAAGTGGTTATAAAGCCAATACATAATTGTGTTTAAATTTTATGATAAAAAGTACATTAGAGTTAGGTCATATTAGTTCAGAAGGTGAATGTACGTTTAACAGATGTACTTGACTAGATTATATACACCATCATATATTATTGTGGTCATTATTTATTATATAAAACATTTCATCCACTTCTCACACACTATGAAGATTACAATCATAACTGTCATATATTAACCCTTTAACCACCAGACGTTTCCATATGGAACGTTTCAGGAGGCCATTTTGCAGGTCATGATCTATAAGTAAGAATGATTAAAAATGTTAAATATTTTATACCACTGAATAGAGGAATTCAAGATCTTTTCAAAAATATCTACATTTGTATGATTTATTCTTAAATTGAAAGAGTTGCAGGATATATTCTTAACTATATGCTTTTCCTAGTTGAAACCTCAAAACAATCCGATGGTTAAAGGGTTAATTTATTAATCATTTATTATAAACACTGTTTGATCCACTTCTCAGACCCTTTAAAAGAGAGCCATGGTAGCTTGGTAATTAAGGGGCTGGGTACCTAACATGCTGTTCCTCAGTTTGATCCCATTGTTGGCTGGGAAAGTTCATTAGGATTTCAGTGTGGCAAGGAAGTTTCTGTGTACATGTTGAAATTCACTTGCTGCCCGAGTGAAATTTCCCTGACAGCTCACTGTATTAAATCCCTTTATAAAATTGTTATGATTACAGACTTAATTGGTTAAGTTTTATTAACTACTAATCATAAAGTGAATAATTTAAATTGTTCTATTGTTTTATTACATGCCCACATTGTTTTTTTTACATGCCCACATTGTTTTATTATATGCCCACATTGTTTTATTATACGCCCACATTGTATTCTTCACTGTTCAGATGTTATTGAATACACGATTTACTCAAAACTTTTTCTTTTGTATCTTTTCAGGAGTGATGCAGTATCACCGAAAGTTGCCGATGTTATAGATCGGGGGATGTCAGCATCCAATGAAATAAAACAGGAGAGACCACATCAATTTTACCCACAATCATCAGTTCACTTATCGCCTGTGCCAAAAGAAAAAGATTTTAAGAGTTACCCGCACTTGAATTCCACGTTTAATGACAATTATAAATCCGCAAGCGTAGCCTACGATCAGCAGAGGGAAGCAGATGATAATCAGCAGAGGCCGTCTGCTTCAAGTCCTTGCTACAGCGAATCAGAATCCTGCAGTCAGTCTCCTAACTTTGAGGACACTTCACCGCGTAAATCATTTCACTTTGGAGAGAAATCAGAAAGTAACTTTTCTTATGGAGAGAAAACTCCAGAGAAATCATATCCTACGACTGCCGAGGGATCTCCAAACAGTGGGCATCCATATGGCTTAAAACCTACCAGATCTCCAGGACACTCCCAGTCATTCAACACCAACGATACTCCAGAGTCATCTCCCCTTAAGAGTTATCACACTCAGAATCATACCGCAACATCCTCTCCAGAAAGCCCTTATCCTAATTCAGCAGAAAAATCAAAATATTCTTTGGATCTTTCGAGTCAGTTTCCATTTGGACCATCCTTCCAGAGAGAGACACTAATGCACATAAAGGAGACTCTTCCTACTAGTTTTCCGCTTCCTGCGATTCCACAGTTAAACATATCGCCAGGCAGCAGCTCTGGTTTTACTAATGGTGACTCCAACAAATATTTTTGTCATCTCTGTAGCTACGCAGGTAAATTTATTTTTGATCATTTTCAAACCTGTACTTAATTATTTGTAAATACGCACACACTGTATCTAATCAAAAATGTGTGTGTGTGGGGGGGTGGGGGCTCTCTCTCCTACTAACTGAACACCAAATGGATAAAATCAACCAAATGTCGATAATAATCTTTGAGAGGCATTTAGTAACTGGATTGAGCAATAAACTATAACACATACTTATGGAAAAACAGCTACTTATTTATTTGGGCGATGTTTTGAAGAGTATAAGTAGCTGTTTTTCCATAAGTATGTGTTATAGTGTTATCAACCAACTGCATTAACTGACAGTGTCTTTACAAGCGGATGTAATATATTTAATATTTTTTTCGTTTCAGGAGATTCCAAGCCTGATTTTGATCAGCACATGAGCATTCACTTTGAGTACAGCTGTCCTCATTGTGATTACACATCACGAACTGAGGGGCGCCTCAAAAGACATATCAAAGACTTCCACACTGACGATAACGATCCCAATGGTAAAAATCAGAGGACTATGCCTGGGAGGCCTAAAGTTTACAGATGTAAACAGTGCGATTATGTCGCTACAATAAAGGTGAGGTCATACTTTGTGAAAGTTCACTAAAATATTGCCCTACAAATTTCATTGGATGTTCAAGAGATATGCTGAGTAGAAGCTTCAGGGCCTAATAAGGAAAGTTCCTAGGTCCACCCATTTAGAGTGAGGCATACTCATAAAAGAATTTTTTAAGAATTGTTTAGCATTTACAGTCATACTTATAATCCCATTCTGTTTATAGATCATAGCCCTTAATCAAATGTATAGTCTTAACAATTTTGTTGGTTGAGGATTACTACTTCCTACCCCACCTGATTGAGATCCAATCTTGCCTGTGCTCTACCAGGGATTGTCCTCCCATTTGTCATATTTATGGTAAGAACTTAATCATAACAGGTTTTGCAGGTTCATAGATGATAGCATTACTGAAATAAATATTTGTTGTTTTCCTCTCATTTCAGACTGACTTTTGGCAACACTCAAGAACCCATATCAAGGAGGATAAAATTCTCCAGTGTCCACGCTGCCCATTTGTCACTGAATATAAGCATCATTTAGAGTATCATCTTCGTAACCACTTCGGCTCCAAGCCCTTTAAATGCAACAAGTGTAACTATTCGTGTGTCAACAAATCGATGTTAAACAGTCACATGAAATCACACACCAATGTATATCAGTATCGGTGTGCCGACTGCACCTACGCCACGAAATATTGTCACAGTCTCAAGCTCCACCTTCGCAAATATAATCATAAACCAGCTACAGTATTAAATAACGACGGCAGTCTACCACAAGGACTTGATGCTGATCTTTCTGGTTTGTCCTTACTAGCTAAACGAGGTCCTCCACGAGGTCCACGAAGTACAAACAAAAGAGACGAACCAGAATACATGAGCCCGATGTTCCCTTTCCCCGGAAGACCTGGTATGATGGGAATGCCCAGTTTACCACATGGTCTAAATGGCGCCATGATGACACCCTACTGGCCACTATTGAATCAGATGTCTGGCTGGAATCCACACCTTCCCATGGCACCAAATGGCATGACTCCTATGAGTCTTCAAGGAAGAATGCTTGAATCTGGACCTGGTGGAATGGGACCCGTTTCATGTACTCTCTGCAGCTTTACTGCTGAAAGTCCAGAGAAACTGAGGGGTCACTTGATGAAGGTGCATGCCTCTGAAAACCAAGATCTCTTCAATGCTTATGGAATATCTTCAGACTCTTTGATGGAAGATGCTTACAAAATGAAACAAAATGGAATGAATGGCAAAAAACCTGGAACCACACCTGAGAGACCCTCAAGTCACAGTGATATGCTCCATGTTCGAACTGATACTGGACTTGAAACAAGTAAGGCAAGTCCTCACTCCTGGCCAGCCAACACTCCAAATAACCACTCCTCCTCCACAAATATCAGTAGTCGTAGCTTGCCAGAACTCTATAATGGATCAGCTAAAGACCAAAAAATCAAAGAGGAACCAGATATCTTAAGAGAAATGACGCTGAAGTTTGGATCCAGCCACAACAACTCCCCACCATCAATGGATAGAGAGGGAGCGCTGGATCTGACTAAACCCAGGTCTGAGTCTCCACCCCACCACCAATACTCAACCCTTAAAAGACCATATCCTGAACAAGAGTTGTCTTCCAGTGCCGAAAATTCCATAAACGGAGAGACGAGCACCCCAAATCCACGAAAGCGATCAAGAAAGGGTAAAGCATACAAGTTGGACACCCTTTGTCTGAAATTACAGGATGAGAAATCATCCTACGAGAGCGAGAACGAAAGTGTGGAATCAAATGGTGATGGACCAGCAGAGATGGTGAGCGATTCTCGTGGTAATGAGCATGTTAATCCCACAGGCGATGGAGCTGAATCTGATGGATCAAATCCACTACATATTAATGAGGATCACTATGACAACCAACCAAATGAAAAGACCAATGGGAGTAGTCCCAATACCATATCAGAGTTTGAAAAAATCCAAGCCAATCTCAAATATTTGAATGGAGAGACTGACGAGAATATTCGAAATGGAGAAATGAAGGAATCCAATGGAATCGAAGGCCAGGAATCACCTCTTGATCTCCTGAATTCAGTGTATCAGAATCGCAGAAAGCCAATGTCATCCGCTTTACGTCGTGGGGCTGAGGTTGCCTGGAAGATTCTGAATGATCCTGCCTCAGGCGAGAAAGCACTTGTGAATGGGGACTCCCTTGATGTTCCACCAAGCCCAACTCAAATTGGAAAGAAAGATTCCATGAATTTCACTCCTTCACCAACAGCTAAGAAACAATTGAAAGACTTCCCTTTCCACCGAGCTGAAAGCTATGAATGCACGTTTTGTGATATCGCTTTCCGTGATTGTGTCATGTACACCATGCACATGGGTTACCACGGCTACCAGAATCCATACAAATGTAACATGTGCGGTAACATCAGTCGTGATAAAGTTGAATTTTTCCTCCACATTGCTCGCACTGCTCATAATTAGACTTTGTTCATTATTATTTTGTTGCTTTTGGTGAACCTTGGACGTAACGTGGCATTATTTTGCTAGATCTACTCATCATGTTTGATATTAAACAAGAGACTGTGTCGTAAACGTTTCATATGTGTGAAGTTTCGAAGTCCAAAATCAGACAATGGCATTAAGTAATACAGAAAGAAAATCAAAAATTAGTGTCGGTTAGTAAGACGTGAAAGAAACAAAAACTATTTTTATGAAATGTTGAAGTCTTTTAGGACTGTAGATGTTTAGAATTGTGTGGCGTAGGAGTTAGAGCTTGACTTAATTGGTGATTGAATGTGCAGAGTTATTCGCCCCTTGTTAAGTAAACTTAGCGATGCTTGATGTTCATTAGGGTAACCATAGTGATGTTCCTACAAACCAGTTATGTAACTAGTAACCATAGCAACATGCTTTTGGTAACCATAAAAAGTTGTGTTGAACTTGATGTGCAACCATGGTGTTGAAACTATTGTTTAAAACATGTATCCATGGCAAAACTTTGTCAAGTAACCGTGGAGACGAATAACCACAGCAACACTGAAGATAAAGATTGCATTATTAGCATGTTATAAACTTTAAAATGCAAATGGTGGACATCTAGTAAAAGGGAGTTATACACAATAGATCAGATTCTTTACATCAAATATTTGTGTTGCTCGTGACAACATCTGCATCAATTTGAACTTGTTGTCATTAACAACTTCACCATTTTATTTGCCATACACCAATAATTATATTAGATGATTGTTTTTGTTAATTATAAATATTAAGTAAGCTTTACATATGCAAATGACTGCCTAATGTGTTGAAATCGGACATTTTTATTTTATTTTACGCACTTATTTTCGTCTTTTTCATCATTATTACTGTTTGCTGCAGTACTGCAAATGATATACCATTCACGCATATGTTCCAGTCATGTGCATCATACATTAAATATTTTCACCCATAAATGTCTACTGCCAGTATCTTCACTTATATTTATATCCCATGAACTTCGACCTCTAACTTTGTGTCATTACCTACAGGATTTTTTTGTAATATACATATAAAGAGAAAAATATATATTTGATAGACTTGTTTATCAAGTCATGTAATGTATTTGACTTCTAAATGTATTACTATAGTCATTTGTGGTCATTTCCAGATTTTTTTTTTTGATTTTTCTCACTCAACTGACTGGATAAATCTCTCGATGTGGCCAGTATGACCTTTGACCCCTGGTTCCCTAGGAAAGACATGCATGTTTATAAATGATGTCAAGATGCAAGTAATCCTATCAGACTCTTGCATCAGAATGTGTGGTTTTCCAGGCCTGCTATGACAGATCTTGATTAGTCTTGTGTAAGACAGGAAAGAAACACATTCTCGCCATCCCTTTATTCTAAGCAACATTAGCTACATTTTATAACTGCGATGGCAGGTGTTGTCAATATTAAGCATGGGGAACCTGGGAAGATATACAAGTCATGAACTATTAAATATCTTCGAGAAAAGTGTACATTCTTTGAGTTATCATGCGATATCGCTCTCACACCAGGCCATCTATTTTAAGTACCCATTAGTACGTTTTCTACGCAACATTCTACCTCATACCTGAACAACACTCCCCCTGGTCCCTTTTTTTTTCATACCTATACTCTCTGATCTCAAAATCTCTTTGATTCATTAGACTGACTGACGATTTGTTTTATTTATGTAATGGATTGAAGTTGTTTTGGGTCGAGTCAAATCAAATCAAACGGAAAATACCTGCCCTGACAAAGGTTCCAACATCCCTGTAAATGGCTCTTAGCTCTGTACATTTATATAAAGCTTGGAAAGAAGGCACCTGTTGCAGACATTGTCAGGTAGAAATTCAGGCACAGTTCCTTCTGCTGCCCGTCATTCTGTCTTGCACAGAGTTGTCTTTTTAATGATTTTATTAATATCCATATGGCAGGGCCTACAACTAAAACCATTTCCAGGTGTGATGTACAGCCAATACACATTATGGGGCTGAGTTCATTGCTCTCTAGAGATTTTACAGCTTTGGTCAGTGTTGATTTTTCTCGATACCAATTGTTACACTTTGATTTAAATTATGGCACAATTCACTGCTATTATTTTGAGAATTTGCACATGTTAGCTTTACGGGCAACTGTAAAATGGTAAATCTCTTTCAAAAATAATATTAAACTGGGACTTAAGTCTTAAGTCTGTCAACTTCATGTACATGTACGTAAGCAGGGTTATCAAATTCAGGGGCAAATAACTCGTCTATAGGTAAGAAACAGATGTTTCAGAAGAGTTATTTGACCCTGAATTTGTGAACTCCCTTACGAATAATAACTTGATAGACTTTAGACATAATACTTAGTCTCAACTTAGTATTATTTTTGAAATAGATGTTCCTAGTTACAAGTGCTGTTGATTAGCCTAAGAGTCAGTCTGAATTAAAACACCTTTAATTCATAGAATCTTTTGAATCATATTACCACTATAGCGGAGAGACCAAGTGGTGCTATGACGATTTTAGTATTAATTAATTAATGAATGAACGTTTTAATTATTATTAAATATGATTATTTTAATTATTGATTTTTGATTGATTGATTGATCTCTTATGATGCAAACCACACTTTAAGCTCAGGTGACGCTGTTTGTTATTATATTTACTGGAACGTTGTTTTCGCTTTATATATATATATATGATATATATATATGTACATGTATATTGTTAGAGCTATTGAATGGATCGATAATCGCCAAATTAATGAGAATGTTTTTGGCTAATTTAATGATTTCTGCACTTGTTTTTCTTGCTCTTTATTGCAAGTTACCTCTCCCTTTTTTCTTTTTTTTTTCCATTGTACAAAATTTGGAACTGTTCACTTTACATATTTGAGTGTAATGATTAAAGGGTCACTTCCATGAGATTTAATGGTGTCATGAAGTCTTGAACAAAGGAGAACAGGGTCCTTTAAACTTAAACTATTTCAGTTTTATGTTTTCGTTAATGAGGCATTTACAGGGATTTGTCATCTCAGAAATGTATTGTTAACCCTTTGGCACTTGGGCTGCCTGGAAATGGCCTAAATTGTTAAAGTGACAACGCTATCAGTTGTATATACAAGAGTTCAACAGAAATTCACAAATAAATGAGACATAGTAAGAAATGTTCCGAAAAGATATTTGTTTGTTGGAGTGACCCTTTAATACCATTAAATGACTGAATGAATGATATTCTGTAAGTATGTAGGTATGATAAGTAGATAATGATATGTTATAACTTAGTGCTTCTATATAATTTTACCGTAGTTCAGTAGTTCTGTATTTGTATTTAGAAGTAGTTTTAATTTATTCAAAAAATTCAACCAATCACATTAATCAAGGTAAAATTTCAACTAATTTGATTGGATAAAGTGATTTACTCAAAATATTCAACCAATCACATTAATCAAGGTAAAATATGAACTTATATGATTTGATAGGGTGTAATTTATTCACATTATTTCAACCAATCATATGTATTCTTTCTTCAATAGTCTTAATTTTAATTAGATGAAGGTCATGAATGAGGAAACTTGATAGTCAAATTTGCTTATTTATTAGTGTTGCCATAAGAAACATGAACTGCTTATTAACTTTCGATCATTTTTTTTTTTTGTTGGTTTGTTAAATTCTATAATATGTTATGACGTCAGTTTAGATTAAAAAATGTTAATTATATGCATTTTTGAACTTAAAACCTGGTAGGGCCTACGTTAAATCTAGCATTAATTATTCCATACAAATGAAAATTTTAGCTGAATGAAAAACATTAGTAGTCTACTAACTTAATGGGTGCCATAATTCACCAACCCCAAAAAACTAATCCGAATGAATTCCGGTTGCTGATTGTTTCTGTTTTTGCTCATGTTAATGCCATTCCATTTAATTTCTATTTTTATCTAGTTTTGATCATTCCAGCCTATATTGTCTCCTCCTTGACAATAATGAGTATTAGTCACAACCAATCGTAAAACACACTTTATTCTCCATATGACCGGTATACAAATTTAGAGCTGTTTTGTTTGTCCAGACTTAACGTATTGTTATAAAGAAATCACAGACAATATAGACTGGAATAATCATGACTATTCTACGCAATATCTATATGTGTGTTCTCAAATAAAATGTGTTCTTAGCCTTATTGCTCAGTTACTACATTTGGATAACCACAATAATTTTTCTTTCGCAGATCAATTTCTTTAAACTGGATGTATACACACAAACAAAAAGTTACTTTATGACAAACATTTTTAATTCTATAATGTATGGTAGTTTTGTGTGTCTGGATGTTCTTTGCTTTAGTCTTTATCACTCAGGGTGCAATTTTATATTAATTGCCATTGTTTGTCACTTCCTTTTGAAAATTGTAAAATATATTTTGGATAAGGTAATGTGTGTGCTTGTGTATTAAATAATGCGAAAATGAAATTTGAGAAATGACTTTTGATTGGATATAAGTGTATTAGGCACAGTGGCACAGCCAATCGTGTGCTTTGATTGATTCACAAGTATTCGGAATAAGCCCCTTGTCTGCTTTGATTCCCAGAGAATTCTAATATTCCATATATAAATGTTCATTGTAGAAGTTCAACTCATGTATGCATTTTCAACCAATTAAATATTGAGCACATCTTTCATAAAAAAAAAACCCCAACAAAGTTATAAAATTGAATACATATCAAGTCTAAAGAATTTGTCTATTACATTATGATTTAAACATAAATAAATCAGTATTAATTTTGAATGATCTCGAAGACAACTCCATGTATATTACATATATCATATTCATTTCATTCATTTGTTGAAGCAGCTGATCGCCATTTGTGGGATTGTGTAAACACTGAATCTCTAAACAAGCCAGTGCCACCTATAAGTGATGGGTAAAATCTTTGATGACCTCGTTTTCATCTGAGTGATTATCTGCCATTTATATGTTTGCATTATTTTTTTAATTAAATGTTAAATAATCGGTTTGGTTATATTGTTTGAAAAATGTAAATGACGCTCAGCTGCTTTGACTATCATAAATTTCATATTTAAGATTCAATGTACACCTTTTAACAGTTTAAGCTGATTGTATGAATATATTCTTGACTTAAGCATCCAATATGGTACAGACTTTGATTTATATTTTATATGGAAAACCACGTCATACAAAAATGAGGTGTTTGTGAAAGTCAATTTATTTGATAAATGCATTGATGCATATTGTTCTCCATACATGGATTAATTTGTAAAATAGTTAAACAACATACAAAAAATAACTAATTGTTTCACAATTGAATATTGGTGGTTACAGTTCTCCATACATCAACAAGGATAATTTTTCAATTTGAGCCTTTGTTTCATTGCATTAGTCATAATCAAATTATTAATTAATTACATATTTAATCAAAATCATTCCAGTGATCAGTATATTCCAATTAGTCATTTATTAATTGTTAATTAAGTATTATTAATTTTACCGGTGATTTATGGGAAGTTAATTAAGGATAAAATGGAAACAAAGGCTTTAATTGTACAGTTATATCCATACTGAAGGTCAGACTAAGTGATCTGGACTAAAATTTGAATATCAGGTCTTGCACCTAGTAAAACAAAAGGCAAAATAAGTTAGATTTCATGTTTTTCTGATCATATCTCGCTATCAAGTGAATTACAAAGGGAAGACAACGCTGCTTGTGAGAGTGGTCATACACCTGATAAATGATAGACAAAATAGTAGTTATTTTGTTTCCTGTTTTTCTAATCACAAAATTACATCAATATATTTGAAAATTAAAACACCCCCATGAATGATCAGGTGTACCCTCCTTCAATTAATTTGATCAAAATATAATATATATTTGGATTAGTTCATTCTTCATTATAGGGGTGTTATAATTTAAAATGTTTGAAATTTATACAGAATGAATTCATATTTTACATTTTAAATTTAAGTTTAATTGTTTCATTCATATTTTTATTTACAATTTTTCCAAATGAAAATCATAATCTGTTTCTTAAATTACACCTAAATACAGTATTTTTCAAGCTCCATATGACCTTCTCTACTTTATTTAAAACCAGAATGTTTAGAATTAATGTACAGTATTTTTGTGTTTGGTCAGTATGTGAGATTGTAATGTTTAGACACATTTCTGTTTCTTCCTGTTATGTGTGTACAGATTTAGTTGACATCATCAAAATGTGTGTACACATTTAGCTAACACCATCAAATTATGTGTACAGATTTAGCTGACATCATCAAAATGTGTATACAAATTGTGCTGTTATGGTATGATAGCTTCAGTTAACTATATATATAAATATATATCTTATCCTTTTTTTCCTTGTTTATGTGAAATAAAATCATGGTATATTTAACTTGCTAGTTTTGAGGTTAATTTTGTTGGGGGAGTATCTGCGTGGAGCCGAGGAGAAATGAATTTTATTCAAATGAAATGGGGTTGGCTAGATCCATTTGTTAAGGCCAACTCAATTTTCGTCAATGTCGCTGAGATGTAAATAAACTAGGGCATGTGATTATTGATGAGATTGTGGGTTAGGGTAAGTGTTAGGGCTAGTTCCAGGGTTAGGGTTTGGATTAGCACTAGCCCTGTTTACATCTTGTGACCTTTGACCAAACTTAAAGTTGGCCTTATCAAATAGACCTAACCATGAGGTTGAACATCCTACTCTTCTGCGCAAACCGGGGTAATGAAGAGATGCCGTGCACTCAACAATGAGGGAAATTTTGGCGTTTATGCCTACTCTTAGTCGACTGACACGCCAATGTGTACACAGGACCTTGTTTTTTATTTTTCCATCCAAATAACTAGGCACTGTTCCTTGCCAGGCCCTCTGTACTGTACCACTGATAAGGTGAAACCAGGGACATCCTGGTTAGTTAGATAGCATCTTACTCATTGAGCCCCTGTAGCTCCTACGACTTGATATGGAACTGTGTGATACAGCTAGTAGTGACTCGTGCCCTCCACCTAAACCCAAAAACATGGAAGCCCCAGTAGCTCCTTCGATTTGATATGGGTAACTGTATGATACAGATAGAAGTCACCCGTCCCCTCCACCTAACCCCAAAAAACATGGGACTTTTTAAATCCTGTTACCATTTGTCTGTAGGGGACTTGGTGTGCTTGTAGTGCTACAAGTGTGCGGTTTAGATCAATAGGTTCATCAATGTGTCAAGTTGTATGGTTTCCATCACAGTATGTGTCAAAGGGTAGTAGGGTCACCTGCCCAACCCCTGCACACAAGCAAATTAATGATATAAAAATTACTATAAATATATGTTAATCCTGAATGGGCTTAATTTGCATATATTCAAAATGGCCGCCAAATGTCTTTGAGTCTCATAATTACACGTGAAAGATCCCTTGACAGTTGGAATTCGATATAAGAGCAGTGGCGGCGCCAGCCGTCGGTGATTGGAGGGGCAAAGCTGGGGCAAAGTCCAAGGTTAAGAGGGCAAAGGCACGAGCTTTAACTAGGGGTTGGGGGCCTCCCCCAGTACATTTTGAAAAACAGGTTGCCGGAAATGCAGCCTGGCAGTATTTCAGGCACTGATCGATGAGGTAAAGTGTCAAATGAACGGACTTGCGAATCACAATGAAGCCCACTCAAGAGCGTCAAAGTAGGGAGTCTTCCCCAGAAAATTTTGAAAAATAAACTGCCGGAAATGCTGTCTTATAGTATTCTGTCAGGCACCGATCGTCGGGATAAATAGATCTGCCCAGATACCGTTCATCGCCTGATCACTAGTTTATCCGACTAGAGAACAAAATGTCAAACGAACGGACTTGCGAACCTCAACGAAATCCCCTTGTGAGCGCCAAAGTAGCGAGTCCATTGGGGACCTCGCCAAGAAAATTTTGAAAAATAGACTGTCGGAAATGCTCTACAACATGCAAGTTTATGACTGAGAAGGTATTGATTACCGAAACGTATCACAAATACTTTTTTTTTTATTTTCTAAAATTATTGGGGGGGGGGCGCCGCCACTTTAAGAGTAAGCTGTAGTGCTTTCGTTGGGGTAAAATTTACCTCATAGCACACTGTATGGCGTATGCCCGTCTTCATTAGCCCAGTATAGGAGCAGAACAGTAGGACATTTATCCCCATTTCATTTCAACCTACAGTATTAACAAAAGCTGGTTTAACATAACCAGCAAAATCAGTCACCTGGGTCACTTCACCAAAATGCCTGTTTTCATTAGCCTAGTTGAAGCAGAACAGTAGGACATTTATCCCCCATTTCATTTCAACCTATTAACAAAAGCTGGTTTAACATAATATATGACATGTAACAGCAAAATCAATCACTTGGTTCACTTCATCAAAATTTAGTTCTATACATTTCCTGAAAGCCACAACTGTTGGCATTAAAATGAAAAAAAAATTGCGATTCAAACTACTGGTTGTAAATTATTTGACGTGAAATAGACCACTAGTTTTGATTGTTTTAGCAAAGAAAAATCTTGACCATGTATATAGCCTCATGAACGTGACTTCCCAACTGATTTTGCTGGCACTGGTCACATATGCATACCCCATCCTACTGTACCTTATTTAATGTCATACATTCCAGGTCAGTTCCGAAGATTTTCCATAGTAATTGAACTGGAGAAAACAATAATAAAACTTGACCTAGAATTATTTTAATATATTTAATCCAACAAACGTTCTACAAATCTATCCTTCTTCATTATCTTCATCTTTATCCTCTTCCTCGTCCTCCTCCTCCTCCATGTCGGACCCTCCCTTCTTAGAAGCTGCTGTGGCTGAAATACACAAGACAGAAAACAGTTAAAGGGAGATAACTACATTTCTTACAAGGACATTTTGGCTGAAAGGTAACAAATTAAGGGTCATTATTTTGTAAGAATACTTTTCATTTGCTAAAAGATAAAATTTCTATTTCAAACAAGTAAAAATATCTTTTTTTAATCTTTGTGAATAACAGTAGCAATAGGGGGCAATTACTGCTTGGGCAGGCAATGAGTGGCTTGATCATGTGACTTTGTTGTAAAGTGTAATGTTAGTGTTTTGATGCCTAGTTGCAAATTAACTAGAACTAGTGAATTAACAGTAACTATTGACAACAACAACTGCCCCGATGTTCAGCAAAGAGTTGCTTTACGACATTGTCTTCACAAGCCAGGCCTAAAATGAATTTAAATGAGAGAAATAAAATGAAATGAAATGGGGTTTAACGTCCTACTGTTTTGCTCCGAACTGGGCTAATGAAGACGGGCATGCGCCATACAGTGTGCTATGAGGGAAATTTTGCCCGGACAGCGGCACTACGGCCTACTCTTATATCGAATTCCAACTGCCAAGGAATCTTTTACGTGCACGACAATGTGTACACGGGACCTCGGTTTTTCGTCAAATCCGAACGACTAGACAGCTTTCCTTGTCAGCCCCTCCGTCCTGCATCACTGACAAGGGAGAACCACAATTTAAATGAGAGAGAGAGAAATGGGGTTTAATGTAAACTCGAGACAACTAGGTCATTTCGGGACTAACACATGGTTCAATTTTATTTCAATAATTCGCTTGCGCAAAGGGGTCCTTAGTAGTGGCAGGAATCAAGAGACCCGGAGAAAACTCACGAGGTTGGCCAGACGACCCTACTCCTTGTCACGTACAACCTGGGAATCGCAACCACGCTATTTGACTCAATGACAGATCTTATGATACAGCGCTTGGGTGCTGGCAAATAAAGACAGGCATACATCATACTGTGTGCTATGAGGGAAATTTTCGTCCGTACAGCAGTACTACCGTCTACTCTTATTTTGAGTGCCAACTGTCCAGGGCTGCCGACAACCAGTATCGCAGCGCAATTTGCGATACATATTTTGTCCGTTGCTAATCAAAAATTAAAATCTAACGTTTTTGATTCGCAGTAACTGCGAATCAATAATATGCCTGTCATTTTGGATATTGACACAAAGATTTATCCACATTTCTCAACACTTTCAACGCGTATAAAATATCAAATAAATTTTATAAACAAAACGGAATTCTCCATGTGACATTTTCTTCTCGAACTACCCAGACTCAATTCATGATACTATATAATACAGGGACATAACTCTATGAATCGGGACTATTAAACCGGAAATAGGGAATCAAGTAGTACCACTCACGTTGCGAGACATGTCAATTTCGAGTAATTATATCAGTATTCAATTTGAAAAAAAATAAATTCAGTGTATCCCCCACGTATTGTAAATAAAATATAAAAAATAAATACGTGTAAACGTATTGTAAAGTGAGAAATCAAAGTAAGAATTCCCGTAAACTATTATTGTTTATATCGCGTGCGTCTAGTTAATCGAGATTATTCGTAAAATACCGCGTGCTTCCGATTGAACAAAAATAATAACACACGATAAAAAGCAGACGAAATTGTTTTCTAACGAAGAAATAAGAAGCCACTGCCAAGAATTGGCTTCAGACATAAGGCCTAACAAAAGTCTACATTCATTCAGAAATGTTCACAGCTAGCTGTAGAAGTGCTAACATTCTAAAAAAATCTTAAGAATGAAATCTAATCATTTGCTATCAATTAAAATTAAAATAATCTTGTTATTTAGGTGTTTTATGTTGATTTGAAACTGAAAAACTGCTAATCAATTTTTAAATTTGCTAATCAAATTTGGCAAAATTGGACTTTTTGATTAGCAGTGCTGCTAATCATCTGTGAAAAATTACCGACAGCCCTGCAACTGTCCAGGGTACTTTTACTTGCAAAACAAGTTCGACTATACTAATGTCCAAAAGAAAGTATACACACTAAAAATATGACCAAGTTTTATTTAAATCAAAAAAATGTGATAAAACTACACTGAAAATGTCTCTTGTATCCAAACTCAATTTTTCTAAGCAAATGGACATTGTACCCAAATACTGCATACAATGGAAAGACGACTTTGTTTGAAGCAGGACGAAATGCTCAGTGTATACTTTCTTTTGGACATTAGTATACATCTAGAACAGAAATAAAATAAAATAAAATAGGGTTTAATGTCCTACTGTTCTGCTCCGACTGGGCTAATGAAGACGAGCATACGCCATACAGTGTGCTATCAGGGAAATTTTGCCCGAACAGCGGTTATACGGCCTGCTCTATTATCGAATTCCAATTGCCAAGGGTTCTTTTACGTGCACACCAATGTGTACACAGGACCTCGGTTAGTGTAAACACTGACTAAACACTATTTCTTGTCGTGCCCTCAGAGGAAAGAGGAAACCACAGCGAAAATACTGAGGAACTTTCTCAGTCAATACCGGGAGTGAATCCGAAACCTCCTGTTAAGACAGCCAGCATCTTGCTCACTGAACCACCACGGATTCAGGACTGAAAAAGGTGTAGTTCTTGATTCTTGATGACAAACAGTAGATAACATAGCATTATGTTTGCTTCTATTAAACCAAGACTGGAAATAAAGCACCTATCAAAGACATTGTCAGACACAAATTGAGGCAGGACAGAGGCAAGGTAAAGTGTCGAGTTGTATATGGATGGGACAAAAAATCAGGGCCTGGCTGATATAGAACAGTAGGATGTTTCATTTCCTTATGGGGAACCATGGTGGCTCAGTAGGTAGGATGTTGGTTCGTTAACCTAGAGGACCTGTGTTCAATCAGGATTGTCTGGCGTGGTTTCCCCTTGTCAGTGATGCAGAACAGAGGACCTGGCAAGTGACAATGTATAGTTGTTCAGATGGGATAAAGGCGTGCACGTAAAAGAACCCTTGACAGTTGGAATTCAAAATAATAGTAGGCTATAGCCACTGTCCAAGCAAAATTTCCCTCATAGTATACTGCATGGCCTATCTGATTAAAATACAGATCTATATTTCGTTTCGTTTTTTTATACTTTCGACGGCCTACACTACATGAAGATCTGACAAGTTATAGCGATAGGTCACGTCAGGAGTCAAAAGACCGACTTATGACCCTATGACGTCAGACATTTGATTAACCAATCAGCATTAATGTTACTAGTGGATTACCCACAGTTCCGTGAAAAACACACCTTTAGCTCTCCGTAACAGACCGTTACATTGGCTTATCCCCGACACCATTCAGAACACGAGTTAAATAACAACTCTTCCAGATCCAAGTGTAGTAAAGACAAGTAAAACGAAATTTTGAACTATAAAAACGAAATGAAATAGGATCTGTGTTTTAACCAGATTGCTGCATGGCAGTATGCCGCCCGTCTTCAATAATCCAGTTGGTGCAGAACAGTAGGATGTTAAACCCTATTTCATTTCAATGTTTAAGTGGTCTTTATTAAAAGATTCCACTGTTCCTACCGGTTCTACTTTTATGTTATAGTTTATTAATGATTTAATTTATAAAATAATCCTGCCACGATTTACTCAACACGTTTACTTTTGTATCTCTTCAGGAGTGATGCAGTATCACCGAAAGTTGCCAATATTATAGATCAGGGGATGTCAGCAACCAATGAAATAAAACAGGAGAGACCACATCAATTTTATCCACATTTTCATTTTCTTATGATATTAGGACTTACCTTTAACATTGACTTTAGTAGGTACAATAGGTTCAGGTCGTTGATCAAATAATAACCATTTACCATTATTACTCCACATACCTTCAACTGTTACATGAAAATCTACCATCATGTGATCAAATAATTTCTGAAACAAACAAACATTAACACATCAAGAGCTTGATTCCAAATGAATTCTCGCTATTCAAACTAGGTATAGAGACTGAAGTCAAGGAACAATACATACGGATCACAAAAAGATTCAAATCAAAATTGCAAATTTTCGATACCTATTCAGATCACCATTTCAATCAGAAAACCCAACTTAGATACTTCGTATACAAAGGATGCCGCATGTTGACAACTTTCAGGGGCATGTCGAGGAATTTGAGCAGTGGGAGGTCCAAGGTGGAGACGTCAAGTTTGGCGTTAGGTCTGGAGGTACTGTGAATTTGATAAAATCAGAGACAATCTTTCTGCTCATTTAGGTGTATAATTCTATAGGATTGCAGTGGAATTGAACCATTTTTTGGACTGATATTGCTTTTAGAAATATGACTATTTCAATATAGTAGTTTGCAAGGGATTCAAAATCCCTCAAATAATCATCAAAAATTTTAATATCAGTAGAATTTGAAAATTGAATAAAAGGGAGACAACTAAAATTAGTTAAAAGCAGTTAGATCCCTTTAACCAGTCCAGTGTCTCAAATGTAGCAGTACTGCAAAATGATGCTTCATAAAACCCAAGATATTCAATTATTATTATAAAGATAGTACTGACCAGGCGGATTAAAACAAAAGTATTGATCTAAAACTGGTTTAACTGAAATTATCTGCCTTAAATCCGTTAAGTGTCATAAAATGGCTTTAATAATGATCTGAAGCCCCGGTGGCTCAGTGAGTCAGACATTGGCTTGTAACCTGGAGGTCCCATGTTCGATCCCTGCGTTAGAAGAGAAAGTTCATCAGGATTTTCTGGCGAGGTTCCTCCTTGTCAGTGGTGCAGGACAAAGGGCCTGTCAAGGAACAATGTATAGCTGTTCGGATGGGACAAAAAAAAAGAGATCCTATGTACACATTGGTGTGGACATAAAAGATACATTGGCAGTTGGAATTTGATATAAGAGTAAGCTGTAGTGCTGCTGTTCGGGAAAAATTTCCCTCATAGCACACTGTATGGCATACGCCCATTTTTATTAGCCCAGTCGGAGGAGAACAGTAGGACGTTAAACCCCATTTCATATCCATTATAAAACATAAGAGTTTCATCAACCTGTTTCTACAAGTATTAATCTAAAATAACACTCAGTTGAATCAGTCCAGTGTCACATTTTTTTTTATGATCCATTATAAACCCAAAGATTTTCAATCTGTTTCAATAAGTAGGCTATTGATTTTATATAACATCTTTAATAAATAAAACAAGGAAATTCAGTCTAAAACATCCTGTACCCTTATATACCAAAAACCTACGATTAATATGTTTCCATGGAAACACCAAAATAATTCAATTTGAGAAATTCTATAATTAGCAAAAGGCACAACTCCTATAATAGGTTGATGTGTTGACTACTTTCATAAAGGTATAGTCAACAGTTTATGAGATATGTGGCTAAAGTAATAGACAGGGCCTAGTTTAATATCAATTAAATGTGTATTTGCAAGTTTTGATGACAAATTGACTTTAACTTTCAAGTATAAATATGGACTTTAAAAGTCGATCAGCTAACTAGAACCAGTGATATTGGTCAAAAGAACCGGTGATGATGATGATGATGAAACTCACCAAAATTCTGGATTGTTCTGGGGTTATTGGGTCACCTTTTTCACAAACTTTATGATCTCTTAACAATGTTATCACTCCTGAAAAATTTAATTATATAAAAAATCTCAGATCAATAAAATTAATATATCACTCCTGTATCTCGATATGAAAAAACATTAAAATATGACGATTCCACTTATACCCCGTAAAATATGGTATGACATTTTCGAAATATACTGATGAAACAGAGAGACAGAGAGTTTAATGTCCACTGACACAAACTAGGTCTTTCTATGTCATTTCAGACTAACACATGGTTCAATTTTATTTCAATAATTCACTTGAGCGTACAGGTCTTTAGCTGTGGGAGGAAACCGGAGGACCTGGAGAAAACCCAAGAGGTTGGACAAGCAACCCTACTCCTTGTCACGTACAGAGAAAGAAATTGGGTTTAATATCCACTCGACACAAACTAGGTCATTTCGGGACTAACACATGGTTCAATTTTATTTCAATAATTCACTTGCGCTTAAAGGTGTTTAGCAGTGTGACGAAACCGGAGGACCTGGAGAAAACCCAAGAGATTGGACAGGCGACCCGACCTACTCCTTGTCATGTACAACCTGGGAATCGAAACCCAGCCAGTTGACTCAATGGCAGACATTATGATACAGCGCGTACGTGCAAACCATTCAGCCATCCAACCACCCCTGATGAAACAAAATCCTTAGTATGGTATAAAAGAATAAAAGTATTCTATAAGAAATGTTCATTCACCTCTCTGTAAACTTGTTGGTAATCCTAGCTGTCGCAACTGTGGTTCCATAGCGTGTGATAAATCTGGTATTGGACCTTGTTCTAGTGTAACTGTCTGTGTTGCTATGTTACCAGCCCTTGCAAAATCTGGTACCCGATAATCATCAAAATATCTGTCAATTATAACATAAATATCTTGTCAAATATTAGAAAAATATCTTGTCAAATATTAGAAAAATATCAGTCAAACATTAGAAAAATATCAGTCAAATATTAGAAAAATATTACAAAAAAATATTACAGCTAGAGCTAAATTACTGGTGACGATTCTCTGCCTCCATCTACAAAAAATATTTCATTTTCGACTGAAGAATAATAGTAAGTGCATCTTGTTTTTTGTATTAATCGTCTAAACTGCAATCTAATTACAATCGTGGTCGCGGCGGACTACTCTGAAACTTTTGAAAAAATGTTATGTTCTCATGAAAAGCATATGAATCTCTGATCTACATGTATACACTTCTTGCTACATTGCCAATCGTCTTTCCTCTTTCGCTCTCACGATTTGTTTCCTCAATGTCTCATTACAACATTTTGATCTGTAAATAATGATGATTATGTTTCATAGTAAAAGGTGATTTTGTTCTTTGGAAGGATCGCGATCAGATAATGGTTTCTAGAATGGGGTCGCAACCAACAAAAGGTTGGGAACCACTGTTTTAGTTGTATAAATTACTAATGCTATCTTACCAAGGTTGTTTTAGTTGTATAAATTACTAATGCTTCTAGGGCTGGCTGAAAAGTTCTAAGCCTATTTGTGTAAGATCTGTACAAAGTTGATGGTTTCCATTTATTTTTTTACATACTCCCCTTCGAGGTGTACACACTTTTGCAAACGATGTTGCAAGGCCTGGATGCCGGTAAGGAAGAAATTTTCTTCAGCCACCCTAAAAAAGTCGTTTACAGCTGACATGACGTCATCATTACTAAGAAAATGGCGACCGGCTAGTTCCTTTTGGGGGCCAAAAAATTATCAGGTTCTGCTTCAAAACAGCACAGATTTTCACAGGAAGTCAGAAACCGGACACATTTCGGATCCAGTCAAGAGCTTTGGCAGAAACTTTTGTCATTCCTAACTAGTTGGCGATAATGTGCTCAACCCTCTCATGAGAGATGCCCACAACACTGGCAATATGTCGATTGGTCAATCGTCGATCAGCCATCACCATGTCATGCACCCGGGTAATGTTTTCTTGAATGCTTGCTGTTGATGGCCTTTCAGGATACGGGTCATCGCCAAGGCTCTCTCTACCACAATTAAATTCCGCGGCCCACTTCTTTACTGTGGAAAAGGAAGGGACATCATCTCATAAAGTGGAGACCATGTGGGCATGGATCTGTGTTGGGGTTAGTCCTTGGGTTGCAGGTACTTGATGACTGCCCTATAGCTAGTTTTGTCCATTTCTGGTGATTTCAATGGGTAGGTTCACAAGATGGTCTGGTAAGAAGACAATAATAACACTACAGTTGCAGTTCTGACATCTATGATTCATTTAATGATTGTACTTGTTGATGGCAAAAGTTTGTTTCAACCCAATTGATCTATCCTTTTTAGACTTGGACGTTTTCAGTCAGCCCTCGTACCTAACCAAGGTGTTTATTTATACTGATCGTCTAAATCACTAGCTAATGAACACCTTTAAAGCAAGCCTGGAAATAAGGCACCTGTCACAGACAATGTCAGGCATAGATTCAGGCACTAAACCTCTGGTGCTTGTCATTTTGTCCGGCACTGATTTGTCTTTTTTATTGATATTAATAATACATGTTCGGCACTAAGTTGAAAAATGTCAGGTACTATTTCATCCATGCCTGACATTTTGTCAGGTACCTCTAAAACCTGCTTTAAAGTCTTATATTTCTTCAATTTACATAAAGAAAATGGCCGCCTAGTGTACTGAGGCTTAAACTTACTTTAAAACTGTTTTTTTGGTTTCATTTGTAAACAATAAACCAGTCTGGCCCTTTAACTGCTGGGCTAAAAAATGGAGATTTTCTCTGTATTCATCTGATTCCGTTCTACCTAATGCTACGGCCATTAAACTATTTTTACCAAAGAAAAATCTGGAAAATAAATGTGATTATGTAATTTTTCATCGATACATTTTCGGAAATGAAATGAAACTGTTCTATACTAACTGTGTTAATGAAGACGTGCATATATTGTGCCATGCAGTGTGCTATATGGGAAATTTTGTCTGAACAGTGACTTTTCCACATATTCTTTGTCGGATTTGGGGATCCTCCTTCTGATTTGTCGCAGAATCCAAGCACAGTTGTTATATGATTTCAAATGAAATGGGGTTTAACATCCAACTATTCTGCTCCGGCTGGGCTATAGAGGACGTCTTTATGCCATACAGTGTGCTATGAGGGGAATTTTGCCCGAACAGCGGCGCTACAGCCTACTTTTATATCGAATTCCCACTGTCAAGGGATCTTTAACACGGGACCTTGTTTTTTTCATCCCATGCTAATAACTAGACAGCTGTCTTGGTCAGGCCCTCCCTTCTGCACCACTGACAAGGGTAACCACACCAGAAAGTCTTACTCACTTAGCCACCATGGCTCCTTATACGATTTCAAAGATAAGGAAAATAACTCTCTTTGAATAATTCACTCTTAAATATGAATTCCAAAATGAGTAATATGTGTGTGCATAAAGCTGTTACAGGAGCAGTAATACCTATTATTCATTGATGCATCGCCTATGCACTGAATGACTGATGCAATAGTCAATGGTGATGCAATTATCAAACCTATATATGTAGTGGCTATGCATTGAAATGATTGAATAAAACACAAAACAAACATTAAAAATTGAAAGAAAATCCGGCCTTCGGATTAAAAAAATAATGTATGGCAATTTCTTTTTTGCTGATGAAGAGTGAACATCAAACAGAATTTAAATCGGAGCTATGATACAAGGAATTCTCGTTGAAACAGTGACTCTCAGTGACAGACAAATTTACCAATGCATCGGCATGAGTATCGATGTTTGCTTTCCATCCATTAAGACAGGTGAAAATTAAAGGGGAAGCCAACGATTTTCAAAGACAAGGTAAATAACTCTGCCAATAATTGATCTGAATCCAAATTATGATGAGGTTAATGTATAGGTATGTAAAAGGAAATAATACCTGCTGTGTTTCCAATCCTGTCGAATGTTTTTTAATTGCACGTTTCTCATATTTTGTACAGAAAAAGTAAAAATTCTGGCATATTTATCCACACAATCTCGTACCTGGAAAAATAAATTTAATACATATAAAGTAAAGAGAGAGATGGGTATAAGTTCCACTCTACACAAACTAGGTCATTTCGGGACTAACATATGGTTCAATTTTATTTCAATAATTTGCTTGCGCAGAGGGGTCTTTAGCTGTGGGAGGAATCAGAAGGACCAAGAGAAATCCTATGAGATTGGACAGGCTACTTTACTCCTTGTCACATACAGATGGCAAATTCAATCCACGCCATTTCACTCATTGACAGACCTTATGATATAATGCGCATACGTCAAACCCATTCGGCCACTTAACCTCTCATTACATACCTGTACACGAATAAAGAATCATTATCAATTTCAAGTAGTCTTCACGATTTTCAGTCTTATTTCCTTTTGTCAGTGGTTTAGGAAGAACTGTCTGGCACGGGAGAAATATCCAGGTGATCAATTGGTATGGAAAAACAATATCAAAAGAGAGAGAGAGAGAGGGTTTAACTTCCACTCGACACAAACCATATCATTTTGGGACTAACACATGGTTCAATTTTATTTCAATAATTTGCTTGCGCGTAGGGGTCTTTAGCAGTGGGAGGAAATCAGAGGACCCGATGAAAACTCACAAGGTTCGACAGGCAACCCTGCTCCTTGTCAGGTACAACCGGGGAATCGAAACCATACCAGTTTACTCAATGACAGACCTTATGATACAGCACGCACGTGCTAACCATTCGGCCATCCAACCTCCCACATGATTATGACACGATTCACACCAATTCAGTTAACCGAGGTGACAGAACAGAAGAGATCAGGGAAAGAACGGAATTCACTTACATCTTCTATTATTTTCTGTTTAAATTCCAGGCCTTTTTTTCTTGTCTGTGTCAATGAAACTGAAATGACAGAAAATGAGTTAATATCACACACACTGGACCTGGTAATACAACGGAAACAGGACACAATTTTATACACTAGATTATACTAATAATACACAGCGACTACCTCTAGTCTAGGGAACTTTTTTTTTATTAAAAATTAACAATATCTTTACTCAGGAATAGGGATTTGGGAATAGGCATAGCCTATCTCTCCCGAAGGAACTGGCGTGCTAACCAGGAGTTAGCTACTCCTTAACAGTGGTACAGACTAACAGAGGGCCTGGCACTGTCTTGTTATACGGATGGTAATAAAAAATTGAGGTCCTGGGTACTCTGCTCTGCTGTACAAGTAAAACTACGAGTAAGACTAAGAACCCTTGGCAGTTGGAATTTGAAATATGAGTAGGAAGAATTTCCCTCATAGCACTCTGCATCGTGTAAGCCCGTTTCCATTGGACAGGTTGGTGCACTTAAAAATCCCATTTCATTTATTCATATCATTTGTGAAATCATTTTTACAGGGTTCCATCTCTATACGACTGTGCACTGTCTACTAATTAGAACAGGGATTAATAACCCTCTACTATAAATTAGTCTTAAAAAATCATAAAGATCTGTTGATCAAGTAGTCTTACTTTTCTTCTCTCTCTTTGATTTTGGCATTTTGTTTGATCAAATTGTCAAATATCAGTAACAAAAATATGAACTACAAAACAACACGTGCTCGTCAAAATAAAAGTAAACAGGAAGTTGTCATAAAATTTTGCATGATGGGTCAAATCAAAACGTAATATCAATTTATTTTAGGTAATTATAGATGTTTATATTGGGGTGTCATGAAATTGATCTTTTGTGAAAAAATGTAAATTATGAAATTAGGTAGTGTTACCTATTGAAAGAATATATTGACGATATGAGTAATCCTCGGAGCTCGTGTCACCATAGAAACGTCTGACGTAAAGGCTACCCTGGGGTTCGAGCAGCACGCCCCTGAATTCTTTTCGTCCTGGTCGTTGAGTCAATTTTGTTCGTTGCTGTCAAATGGACGAATTAATGATGGTCTGAAAAATCGAGTCTACGGGTAAAATTCGCGCAGGAATTCAAGGAGAGATAACTCTTTGAATTCATTGATTGACTCCACGTATATAGTTCCCCCGACAACCGTTACTGAATATTGTGTAATTTATCAGAATCGCCTGCTTAAAAGCAAGGTAAGTAGACTATTCTTTTTTCTACGAGAAACTCCAGGAATATCCTGTTTTTAAGGCGTATTTAGCAATATCAGTCATACATTATGTCATTGACAGCATAAAGTAGGGCTAGGTTCCGCCATCTTGAAATTTTTAGGGTCATGGTGTATTGTCGGTATAATTTTATGATCTTAATTATTTCAGCATCTTAATTTCGAGTCAAAATGACGGCTAAGAAGGAAGATTACGTACATAAGGCTAAATTAGCCGAACAGGCTGAAAGGTACGATGACATGGCCGCTGCGATGAAAGAATGCGTTGAAAAATCGACTGATGGAGAAGGGTTGGATAACGAAGAACGAAATCTACTGTCAGTCGCGTACAAGAACGTTGTCGGGGCTAGAAGATCGGCATGGAGGGTCATATCAAGCATCGAACAGAAGAGCGAATCAAACGACAAAAAACAGACAATGGCTAGAGAATATAGAGAAAAAGTAGAAGAGGAGTTGAAGACTATTTGTAAGGAAGTACTGGTGAGTGATTATTATAATAATTTGCAGCATCGTTTGCCGAGAGAGTCGAGTGTGTGTAATACAGTATTGAGTGAGTAGTCGGTTGTAAGCCTGTCAGATCGATTCACCGTAATATTAATGGAATCTTCCGCAGTTTGTGACCGATTACTATGCATTATATTGTTACCTACACGAATTAATTTGCTGTAGTTCTAAATCACATTGTCTGCTGTGCATTTACTTTTTGGGTCTCAATGACATGACAAAGGGGAGTTGTTTCTAAAAAAAAAAAAAAAGGTGATGATACCTACTGGGAATGAGATCAGATTTGTCACGACAGAATAGTGAATGATGGGTTTAACTCCTCAAAGCGAGTAAAATAAACATTTTGCTCATCCTTTATTTGCATTTCTTCATAGAGCTGAGAATTTGTTCCCCGGATGTTGTTGAATTTGACTTTATTTTGAAGAATTTAAGAAAATACATTGGCAGTTGTCCTAATTTGATACCAAAGCTTTTTCTAAAATTATTTTTATTTATGTCATTCCAATTATTTTGTACTTTTCCTAATCTGGAGCTAGGTATGTTAATCCATCTTGAGGTAATAAGCCAGGAATTAACTTCACATTATTATCTTAATCTACTACTAAGCAGATTGTAGTTACCAAGTAGATTAAGTTATCATGGCTTCTATAGTATACAATTCACCAGCTGGTTAATTTGTGGACTCGTAACATGAATATCCGTCTTCATTAGCTCATTACACCATTTCATTTCATAACATGAGAATATGTGTTAATTCTCCCATGCTGCTTCAGATGTCATATATTGCTAGCTCACCAAGGTAAACTAGCCACTAGAGTCCATAAAGAGTAGCCATGATATCTGGACACATTTTTTCTTGATTAACTAGACACAATACAACAGGATGTACTTGAATGCCAACTCAATATGATATAGATCTTGTTTGTGCAAGTCATTAAGCCAAGATTAGTAATCAATATTATCAGTGTCAGAACAACAATCATTACTTATTGTTGTATATTATTAGATGTAAACAATTGTTCATGAAAGTTTGATTAATTAATGGTTTTTAACTCTGTGTGGACCAATGGCTATTACCATTTACTGACCATTGCCGATAATCGTATTTCAAGAAGATGGTCCACCTGTTGCTACATGTATATTCTAACAATAGAAAATGATCACAGCCACTAAGAATTAAAATTAATTTTTAGAAGATGGTCTCCATCTAATTCTATATTTTAACAATAGACTATGATGACTGCTACAGTCATGCATTCATGTAACTTCCGGGAAATGATTGCTTGGAAGGGGTAGAAACACTACTAACAGTTAATGTCGGCAAACAAAATAAAGATATTTACTACCTGGTATGGACATAATGATTTTAGTTGTAGGCCTATCTGACAAATTGAATTATGTGGCAGACTTGTATTAAAAATATTATAAATACTGTGAATAAGACGCCAGTCGATTGTTCAAAGCTCTTGTTAACTTTTAACGACTTGTTAACATGGAGTTAATGGATCGTTATCCTTAACAGAGATAAAGTCTGGTGCTGGAAGCCCCGTTAACTTAACATGTCGTTACCTTGCTTTTATATTTAACGGAGGTGTTGTGCTCAGTTATCTGTTTAACGATGGCATTAGTCGGTTGTCAATCGAAGTATACCATTAGCAAGAAGTCATAGGTTACCAGTGTAATTTTCTATAGAACATTCTAGAGGGATGGTGGTGGGGCTATTTTATTTTCTATAGGATGGAATTCTATAGTATTCTACAGAATTTTGGGGGTCTGTAGGAAATAATGACCCCAAATATTCTACTGTTTCTGTAGTGCAAATCCCATATATTTTCCTAGATTGATGCTAAAATTTATAAAAAAAAAATTTATAGTGTTTTCTGTAGTAAATTTTATAGTTATCTTTTTGTCTTTAATCATGTTTTGTGAACAGGCTGTACAGTTGTCTGACTGGCTTCAGTTTCTGTTAATACTAATTTCTATGAAGTTGTTATACACACATGTACACATACATTGAATTGAAAAATTTAAAATTCAGTCAATGAACAGTCTTCTATTGGATTAACTTTAATCAGTCCATTATCTAACAGATAATAGATAATTGACTTTCCAGCAATAGAAATTTAACGGACCGTTAACAAATGACATGTTAGCAAGATAACGATCTGTTAGATTTTAACGGAAGGCTAAAAGAACTTAGTTTTAATCAACTAGCCCCAGAGGGAAAGTGATTGATGCAACCTGACAATGTTAGTGACTGATGTCTTACACTCTTTATTTTCAATCATGTTGACTACAACTATCATTTCCAAAATTAGGGACGCCATTTAAGGTAGGGTGTCCAACACAGTTATGAATGGGCTCTTTTAAAAGTTGACCTTTTGCAATTGTTCCCACTCAAAATGATGATTTTTCATGTGATTGCATGGTAGAGACACATCACATGTATGCATTCATGGCGGTTGCTTATATAAGCATGTATAGCCATTGCATAAATGACATCGTCTACATGTCTATCAACTGACAAAGCCCCAAAAATATGTTAACGATTCAGAATTACAGTAATACTTATTAGGGTGACTAATAGCAAACCATGGTCACATTTTTGCACTAGAAATACTCGGATGTGGTGTCAGATTATAGTTTACAATTTCAGTCAATGGTATTAGTAGATCAGAATTTTAATCTGTGGAATACAGTATTTCTGCTTTTGTAATATTTCAGATATCGAAGAATTCTTTTGAACAAAATTTTTAGTTTCTGTATTCCATGAAATTAGCCCATCTGTGAGACAAGGGAAATCCCCTAGTGATAGTTTACAATGCTATATTTAGATTTGTACCTCTAGGATTAAGGACAATAGGGTTACGCTAATCTCACAACTACTTGCAGGTTGTATTACAAGACAAGTAACATGAGCTGTTGCTAGTAGACAGATATAAAATAGCTTGATTCCTGGACCTGAATCACAAATTCATTGGACCATTGGATCTTGCTTTATGTTCTTATTCAAAGTTTGATGTTCATAGATAAAGCCAATATTCAGTTACAATCCATTATGTGTTAAAGTGAAACTAAAATTAACAAACAGACGGACTTCCATTTAATCTAATGAAATGTGAGGAGAATTGGGTGGTCGAATGGATCATTAGGTCTGTCATTGAGTCAAGTGGCATGGTTTTGATTCGCTGCTTGTACATGACAAGGATAAGCCTCATCTGTCCAACCGCATGTGGTTTCTCCGGGACTTCTGGTTTCCTCTCACTACAATAATCCCTTACGCGGAAGTGAATTATTGAAATAAAGATGAAACATTTTAGTTCGTGTCGAGTGGACTTTAAACCCCATTTCTCTCTCTTGAATTGTAGAGAGCTTTAAACCGACTTTTAATTAAATAGTGTACTGTGAAATCTGGGATTATCCCTTTAAGAGAGTGGTGGGGAAGGGTCTAATGTGTGCACTTTAGATCATAAGGTCTGTGATTGCGTTAATTGGTATAGTTTCCATCCTACTGTTTTACAGTGTACGTGACCAGGAGTTCAGTCACCTGTCAAACCTGTGTTTGTTGAGTGGACGTTAAACCGTATTTTTCTCTCTTAGTCTTTCCCTTTAAGATGATCGCTGATTAATGAATATAGAAGATTAGACCATATCTGCATATAATAATAGTTAAGCATTATTTCTTCCTGGTTAGTTTTTAGATTGAGTAGGACGACTAAAGAAAATGTTACTCGTCGTTGTATTATTTTATTCATTTAACACTAAACAGTTTTTATAACACAAATCAAGGGTGTGCCCATTTCTTTTCAAACAGGTTTGTTTAAACTTTAAAAAAGAAATATTCGTGGAAGAAGGATATCTGTTTTTGTGTAGGATAGGAAAAAAATGATTTATTTTCAATTGGAGACTATATTTTCCTAGTTTCAAAGTCAAGGTCATGGATGTATCGAGCTCTTTCGTGACTAGCTTGATTGGATTCACAATTAGTATGATTAACAGCCGATTCATGACAAGAAATTATTCTGACTTGAAAAGGTTCGAATATTATTTTCAACATCAGGGCCCTGTTTCTCGAAATTTTAACGAAAGATAAAATTCAATTTAAGTAGATACTTCAATTTTGATTGGCTAAGCACTAAAATCAATCTAATATTATCCAATCAAATTACTAAAATTTGGATTTTATCTTAGTTAAAATTTCGTGAAACAGGCCCCAGAAGCAATATTTTGCTTATTTTTAAAAATAAAAGCAAAAACAAAGTTTAAAAAAGCAAAAACTTTCAATAGTTGTAATCAAGCAAGCAATCTAAAATTAATACATTTTTTTGCCTAGTGCCAAATGGAACAGAATTTTATCGTTTGGACCTTTGTCAATTTAATCACCACTTGTTCACAAATGTGTATTTATTGGTTTTTGCATATAAAAAATGTGATAATCAGTAGTGATACAGTAGTAGTGTTTTAGTTACGGCTGAGTTAACGGTTGGAAATGATCTTTTTCGACTTCTTAGGTCAATACTTAGGGATACACGATTGGTCAATAATATCACATGCTTTGAGTTTTGTGTATATTATCTGTCGGGAGGGTGACGTATTGTTATTTCATTGGTTGAGTTACGAGTGGCCGATTATTTCCGTAAACATTTTCAACATTTACAGAGAGTAGAAAAACTCAAGTTTTAAAGTTTGCTTTTTAATCAAAATTACTGTAGACGCAAAACCTTGCCTTATAATTCAAGTCTAATTTGAAATTTTCGTATTTTAGCACACTTTTTGCACCTTTGATTTTGCTAATTTCAAAGTCTGGGCTTGTATAGATTTTTTGCCCCTTCAACGTGTTGATTATGGTATTGTTAATACTTTTAGTTGGGTAATTGGGTGTGATCTTCATGATTCTAATCTATACAACGAATAGTGTTGCCAGTCTGGTTCTTATCTTATAGGGTATTGAAGTATTCATTGGGTTCTCTGATTAC